GAAGTGGTCGATGAAGGAATGGTTACAGTAAAAGTATTTCTTTTTTTAATGTCCGACATATTAAGCTTCTCAAAATGTTTTCATTTGCATGTGATACAATTATCTTTTAATTGTTAGCTTTTCTTTTGCAATAATAGGAAGGAACATTTATTTTTAATCAATATACTTGCAATAAAAGCATGTGAATGGACAATTAGTAAGGGATGATAAATTTGATATAATACATACATAGTATATATATAAACTAACTCCATATATCTAATATGATAAATATTTCAAGGTAAATATCTATATTTACAAGATAATAGTACAAATGTATTATTAGTATTCATATCTGTTAAGTAAACGCTTCAATGTCCACGTGTGCTTTACATTTATAAGCTCACTTTGACAACATCTTCAAATCGGAGAAATAAAACTTGAGGTTCATCTTTCTTCTCCCAATATCCAAGAACATGCTGCGGCCACGGACATGCATATGCTAAAAGAAATTTAGGTAAAGGCACTTCATAATTATGTAGAAGTGAGTACCTTTGATATAGTTATACTCAAGATTGATCATTGGCATTAGTCGTTGTCCGATTAAATAGGTTATTTTATTACCAAAATAAGTTTTTAATTATAAGAACAAAGATCAACAATGAAAGGTGATATTCGCCTAACGCAGTCCTAACAAATCCCGACAACACGGAACCACCTACACTAATCCAAGCAATACAGCAAAGAAATGCAGGAGAGGGCACAAGGACAATGCAAAGTTGTGACGTTTCAATAAATAACAATTGAATTAAGAAAACTTATGAATGCATATACAATTAAAAGGCTGTCAGAGACTGGCTGAAGGTGGAATGATACCAGGAATGACATAAGTGCCATGAGATGGGAAGGGGTGAATGAAGAATTCACACAGGAGTGTGTAAATGTAGTAAGGTTTCACTAAATACTGTTAACATAGTATGAATAAATCATGGTGTTGTGTGTTGCATATGCAAATTAAGTATATTTACAAAGACTATTAAATCAGCTATCACAGAAAATTGCTACAATGTATTCAAAATAAAGAAACTCAATTTGTGATTTGTGTTTACTAATATTTAAAATCTTTATCTACATTTATTTTTTTAAACATTCAAATATAGATTAAGAATAGAAACTGGTAGATAAATAAAAAGAAAAAGAAAACTTTCTTCTTTTTTATTATTGATAAAATAAATATTCCTCGTAAGTCGTTAATTAGAAGATGAATGTCCTGCAGAAGTGGATTATAAACTAAACAATGAATTGATGAATAGAAAATGAATCATGAAAAGGGAGGTTTCAGACATTATTTACAAAACATAATGAACTATCATAAAGTTTCCAAAAATGTTTAAAAAATCCCTGCTTCCTGAGGAAATATCATTGTGCATCACAATAATATATTGATTATAAATTTTAACAATAACCAGAATAAGTATTATAGTCTGTTATCATAAAATGAAAAACTCAAGCTACTGGTATTTGAGAAAGTAGTCTAAAAATAAATAATTATGAATTTTGACTACGCCCAATTTCATAATTGTATATAATATCTGTCGTTTCTATTTGCTTCGACTGATACAGCACCATATTGGATATGTAAAATAAGATTATTATAAATATTTTTTATATGTTAAAATTAAAAACTTATGTTCAATGAACACTGTCGATATTTTATAGATTGCTAATGAATCTTAGAATGAAGGAAATAACGATAAAAATGATATGCCAGCGTACCTGTGCCGTCGACAAAGCTGTCAAAGAATCGACCAAACATATTGTCTCCCTCATCAAGTTGATGTGTCCACTTAAATAATTTGAATAGTGAAATAACAGCATCTTTCGGGTTGCGATACATATAAATTATCTGAAAAAAAAATCAAAATCGAATAGACACGATACGTTATATATTCTTATATAGCAATGTCAATAAGTACCTATGTTGGATATAACGTATAAGTCACTTTCAGATTATTTCTTGCAAAGGGCGTCTGTTATTTGCATGAATATTCTATGAAATACACATATACTAAAGGGCTTGAATTTAATTAGGATTTTGGGAGATCATTGTAACGCTTTCTTCTAATAAGACCTAGTGACGCATTTTACTAAATCTCCGTGCAAAGTGTTCTTTTGCTTCCACTTAAAGAATTAGAAGCAAATTTACTAAAACAAAACCATTATTTTTTTGAAAAAATGAAAAAAAAATCAATAGAACATTCATTTTACATGAAAAGTAAATAAGTATTCACATGTTAAGAACAAATAAACTGAAAAAAGTAAGAAAATATTTGTATAAGAAAAGTTATATGCACTATTTCCTAAATAGTATAAACAAACCTTGAAGAAATTACGCGGAACCATAAAACTGTATCAACCATTAAACTCTATTAGATACTTCTTGATATACTAAGTTTTAAAAACTTCAAATTTCTCTCACTCATACTTGCATGCTTTGGTGACAACTAGAAAAAAAGATTTCTAAAGTTGTTGTAGCCTGGTCCTGCAAAGTATGCAAGTATTCTCAAACAAACCCTTCGATATCTAAAAGTAGTCTATATGTGTATCACATGTACAAAAATGATATATTAGGTAATCTAATTACAATGGTGTCTACCATATCAGAATACTACTGGAAGTATGATCAGTGTGAAAATAACTCTAAAAAGATATAAGAAAATAAAACAAAAACCATTCAATATTATTATTGTAGATATCAAATAAAAAGAGAAGACAAGTCCTAATTACTTCCAGACTGTCCATTAGTTACACAGTCATATATAACATAAGTAAGTAACGGCGATTTTGAATACGGGGAATCAAACATTGCATCTATTATATAAGTCTAGAATTTAATTAATTTCATTTCAATGGCAGATAAGATTTGTTAAATTTAAGAACATATTATTTAAATGCTTTTCTTGGTTTCGAGCGATTTGTCAGTAAAACTGAATATGGATCTATGACACGTAGGATAACTTTTGAACATACATACCATTGTCCTACTAATCTGGGACATAAGATGTTATCTTAGGTCCCAGTACTAATCATATATCTTAAATTGCTCAATAGTAGCTAAAATCTAAACTGACCCTCCCTTTGCCTTTTCGCAGTTGTTCAGGTAGAAGAAAATGATGGAGATGTGATTTTATTATCCTTGGTGATTTCATTTCGTCTATTGTTTTCTTTCCTGACAACAGAAAATAGTGTAAGCGACTTATGAATAAAAACAAATTTAGCAAAGGCGTAATACTGTTCAAAAACCATCCAATTAATGGATAGTTACAGGACAACAGAACATTTCAAATCTCAAAGTCGTTAGCTCTTCGTTTTGTAGAATTAAAAAGTATACTTTTCTTTTTTAAAATTCATAGGACAATTTTTTCTATATTTCGAATACTTCCTGTGTTAGTCACCGGCATTACTCCAGTTTTATCATTTTATTATTATTGTTATTATCATTGTTAAATACACTTTGTAGTATCGGTATAAGTAGAGTTTACTCCATCCAAGAAGTATTTTACAATTAATAACAAAACCTATTCTACGTAAAAACTATATATATAGCGGCTGATTCCCCTAGCTCCTGCGACTTATGCCGGAGTTTAGTAAATATGTTTTATTTAAAATGTTTTTACTGTACAAAACCATTTTATCTAAAAGTGTCGGATTAATTAATACGGTCACTGACATTCAAAATAAATTAAATGGTTATAACTAAAAATGTGATAAGTTCTATTGAACAATTTATGTTACAAAAAAAAATAACTAATAAATAACAGGGAATAAACATTTTGGACCACGGAATTTTAGGGATTGGAAACTATTACTATTTTTATTATAAGCTTTATCAACAGTACCTTTATAGTACGGAAATCTGTCATCTTTGCAGTCGAGGAATGGAACTCTAACCTCTAGTTGAACGTTGTTTGCCGTTTCAAAGTCTAATGTTTGAATCAAGTAAACTAATTGTATAGTCATTGTAGTGCCTGTATTATATAAATAAAAAACAAAAACAACAATCAACTCTTTACACAGAAGATTCGAGTCTTGGAGCTTGTTAATCATTGTATATTATTGTATAAGTGATGGGTTATTGTGTGCGTCCGCGCGGGCGTGCGTGTATGTGTGTGTTTTCGTTCCTTTTTTTGTTGATTTTTCTTGTTATTTTTTTTTTTTTTTTTTTTGGGGGGGGGGGGGTGCTTTTGGTTTTTATTTGTTTTTTGGTGTTTTTTTTTTTGGTTGTTTTTTGGTTTGTCTTGTTTGTTGTTTTTTCTTGTGCGGGGGTTGTATTGGGCGGTGTTCTATTTTATTTGTTATTGTTGTTGTTCTTTTATTTCTTGTTATATATTTTTTTTTAATACTTTCATGAAAATGTATATGACCTTGCTTCATCAGATAAAAAAACCATATTTAAGCGGAACCTTGAATATTTATAATCCTGTTGTACAACTGATGCAAAATAATCTTTTCATCATTTATATTCGTTCACATTTTGTCGAAATTTAAAAGGTGTAACCGTTTGATAAAGAACAAATATTTGCTGCTGTCCAAAAATTTATCAAAACTACTGACCGTTTTCGAAACATCTGATATTTGTGTAAATCGGCCATTTGTATTAATCTTAATAACTTTGTATCATAAGAATTAACAAACACTTATGATGGATGTCTGCCTCCTTTGATGAATACTGCTAAATGCTGGATCCTTAACCTTGTCGTTATTATATAAATACACAATAAACAAATTTATTCTGTCTTACTTAATTTACATTGGTTTAATCTTTTTTATGTTTATCTGTCATGATTTTTTCTATGGTCGTTTTATAAGTATATATGTTACAATTTTTCATAAATATGCCATCAGTAATGATTAATATATTTTTTCAGGGGAGGGCCTAGTTCAACTCATTGTACTACGCAACGAGATATTGTGCTGTTTTCGTGTCTGGACAATATCTCGCCTCTACGTAAAAGCGAGAGTTTGCACCAGAACGAAAATATATCAGATTCTAGCTTTGGCACGTCAATATATTTTGACTAGGGAGGCCCAACCCTTTTTCTATTTGTTATTTCGAAATCAATTTGTTTCTCTGTATGTTTACATTTATATATTAGCGATAAAATATGATTAAACAAATAAAAGTCAACGCTTTTGCGGGGATTTTTTTATTATAAATGAAAATAACACACCTGACCTAGGATAGGTGCATATCCAAATATCGTCTGCTCTAGTTTCCATAGTTTCAAATTCCTCCGCTTCACATTGCCACATTAAAATTCCTTTAAATCGTCTTTCTGCAATTCTCATAGGATATTTTTCATCCATCTTTTTTTCTGCACCTTCCATTATTATATCTATAATCTATATGATTTATATTTATCTTTACTACACACGCATGCACGCTGCATACGGTTCACTGAACTTCTATGACCTACAAATAACGGAAACGCTGATAAATAGCGTTTATATTGTTTATAACATCCTGTTTCTCTTCCCTTTTTTTCTTTTTACTTTTGTTAAGCTGAAAATTAAAGTTGTATATCGGGAATTTATTTGATTAGGTATGGCCTTATGTTAATGAATGTAATAATATTTCTAAATGTATAAAGGAGTTAAAAAAATTAATATTTCTAAATATTTCACTTTATTTATAATAACAAATAGTTATACGTATGTTAAAAATGTATTAAGATTTAAAACGTTTTATTTTCTAAATGACAGATGGCCTAGTTATGTATATAAAGAACTTAAATTTCATTTTTTTTTTAAATTTTTTACGGATGGTTTTACTTATGTATACATTTTGAACATCTCTAACATTTTTGATTTGTTTCATTTTCTTAATGACGGATTCGCCTTTGTATGTAAACGAGATGAATTTTTTATATTTTACTTTATTTACAGGGAATGGTCATACGTATGTTATAAAGATCCCATGACTGAAGAAGACTTGATTGCAAAATTAGATGAGACATATGGCACAAAGTGTAGGGTAACTATTTGAAATATCACATGTTATGAAACCCAATAATAATATACATTCAACATTTCTACATATTTTATGACTTTCCTTAGTGCCATTTTTTTATATTTACTAGACAACTGTGGCCATTTTGTTTTGTATGTATTTTTTTCAATGACTTATAATTTTCTTTAATATTTTGTAAGAATGTGCTGAACATATCCAATTAATGGTAGTCTTTAAAGATAGATTAAATTATGTAACATTTACAACAAAAGTTTATGTTATTATGGATCATATTTCTTTATAAATATTTGGTTTAAGAAGCGGAATAACTCATACTTGAATATTTATTTCAAGTTTAATTTCCCTTTTGTATCGTATTTATTTGTTAATTTAATCATAAATGGTGACGTAGTTCAAGCCATCTAAAATTTGATATTTTCGTTATTAAATGATCATAATAGTTTAACTGATGTTTCTTGTTGCTAAAAATAGTTAATCTGTTTCTCTCATGATAACTAATTTCATAAATTTAGAAGTTATACTACTAACGTATTATATTCCATGTCGTATGTTTAGTTGAATACAATGGTTGTTTATTCCAATGTACCAAGTGCTAGAAGACCACATGTAAACCTCATCGTTAAATATTTTACTAAAATTGATGATTTCGATTAAAAAGCAGAGCCGCAAAAAAAAAAAATGTTAATAATTTTCTGAATATTTTCAGATTTCTTCTGAAATCATTTGTGTTTCCACCGTTTAATAGTAGCTTAAAGATTCTGTATGTTGTAATTAAGGTTGTTACCACGCTTAAGTGTATATATAAACATGCTTCTAAAACAATTTTCAAACATCGAAGAATATGTAAAATATGTACTGCAAATATTTGTCCACAATATATGTAATCATTAAAAAATATTTGCATTCATTTCTTATTGAAAAATTTGACTTATACTTTAAAAATAATTTTCTCATTACCTCCCTTTATTAACATGAAATGTAAATGCGGTAATATCTTTACAAATAATGCAAGGAATTAAAATAAACGTTCAACTCAAGTAATAGTGCCATGTTTGAATATCATATTCTTTTTAAATAACGTGTCAATAAGCCAGTCTATATTATAATAATGATTGTAGTAGGGCAAGTTGTTTCCCTTTTTTTGTATATTATGTTGACGTTCATATTTCTGACCACCTAGGTTATGATTTTGTTATTTCCCTTTTTTATTGATACAAGAAAATATGTGTGACGTTTTGAAGCACAGTTTACTATCAGCATGTTATTAACTTCTGAATTTGTCATTATTGAGTAAATGATAGGTACATGTACTTTGGTTTTGACAATTTTTCTTAATTGAAATTTATTGAACCAAATGTTTGAAATAGTATGTTATAATATTGGTTGTTCTGAAATTGTAAGAAAATTCATATATAAAGCGCAAGACATCGCTGTGACCTTGACCTTTGAACTATTTATCCCAAAATCAATAGGGGTCATCTACTACATATGGCTATTCAATATATGAAATATGAAGACTAAAAAAATAAAAATAAAAAAAATAAATAGTTATCAAGATAATCAGCGGAAACCATATTGACATTGAAGGCACCTGTGACCTTGACCTTTAATCTAGTTACCCTAAAATCAATAAGGTACATCTAATAGTTACTACCAATCAATATGTGAAATATGAAGACTTTGTGATAAATAGTTTTGAAGATAACTAGCAGAAACCATTCTGACATTTAAGACCCCAGTGACCTAGAAATGTGAACTAGTGACCCCAAAATCAAAGGGGTCATCTACTTGTTATGACCAATTACTATGTGAAATATGAAGACTTTGTGATAAATAGCTTCCAAGGTAATGAGCTGAAACCATACTATCATTTAAGGCCCCTGTGACCTTGCCCTTTGACACAGTGATCCTAATATCAATAGGGGACATCAACTAGTTATGACCAATCACCATGTGAAATATGAAAATTTTGTGATAAATGGTTTACAAGATAATTAGCGGAAACAATTCTGACATTTAAGGTCCCTGTGACATTGACCTTTGACCTGCTAGCCCCAAAATCAACAGTGGTCATCTACTAGACATGACCACTAACTATGTAAAATATGAAGACTTTGTGAAGAATAGTTTTCAAGATAATAAATGGAAACCATTCTGACATTTAAGGCCCCTGTGACCTTGACCTTTGACCTGGTGAACCCAAAATCTATAGACATGACCACTATGTGAAATATGAAGGCTTTGTCATAAATAGTTTTCAAGAAAATCAGCAGAAACCATTCTGACATTTAATGCCCCTGTGACCTTGACCTATGATCTCTAAATCAATAGGAGTCATCTACAAGTAATTGCAAATCACTATGTGAGATATGAAGACTTTGTGATGAACAGTTTTCAAGAAAACCAGCGGAAACCATTCTGACATTTGCCAGTGACCTTGACCTTTGATCTGCTTACCCAAAAATTTAAAAGGGGTCATCTACTAGACGTGACCACTATCTATGTGAATTTTAAAGACTTTGTGATACATAGTTTTCAAGATAATCGGCGGAAACCATTCTGACATTTAAGGCCTCTTGGCCTTTGACCTGGTGAACCCAAAATCAATAAGGGTAATCTACTAGTTATGACCAATCACTATGTGAAATATGAAGACTTTGTGACAAATAGTTTTCAAGATTATCAGCGGTAACCATTCTAATATTTAAGGCCCTGTGACCTTAACCTTTGACCCAGTGACCCCAAAATCAATAAGGGTCAACTACTAGTTTTGACCATTCACTATGTGAAATATGAAGGCTTTGTGATGAATAGTTTTAAAGATAATCAGCGTAAACCATTCTGACATTAAAGGCACCTGTGACCTTGACCTTTGACCTAGTAACCCCAAAATCTATAGCCGTCATCTACTAGTTATGACCAATCACTATGTGAAATATGAAGACTTTGTGATGAATAGTTTTGAAGACAATCAGCGGAAACCATTCTGACATTTAAGGCCCCTGTGACCTTGACTTTTGACCTAGTGACCCCAAAATCTTAAGGGTCCTCTACTTGTTATGACTAACAACTATGTGAAATATGAAGACTTTGTGATGAATAGTTTTTAAGATTATCAGCGGAAACCATGTGGTATACCGACAAAATAATATACCCAATCTTCTTCGAAGGGGGGGGGGGCATAAAAAAGTTGTTGAAAACTAGTCGTGATTTGTTCCCAAAAAAATGCAGTAGAAGTATATAAAAATAGCCTCAACAACATTCGAGCTGTATTTTATTGCAATAAAACAAAATAAATGTAAACCTGGACAAGCGCAGCGGTAATAGCATTCAGCTTATAAGAACAATATTTCAATTTCAAACCTGCTTTCGAGTGCATGATAAATATGAGTTTATTTCAATATCCTTTAAATAGTATGCATTTATTTCAACCTTTTTAACAATATCGATTCATTTATTTAAAAGTTTCATACATGATTATTCTTTGCTCACTTGAAGGTAAAATCATAAATAACAAAACTTCAAACCAACTATTTTGCACATGTGTAGATGGTTTGTGCATATCGTAATTCTTTCATTGCTAATATTCAGTCAAGTATTACCTTAAGCAGACTTGAATTATGCTGAATACAAATCAATGTAAAACGTCATGTTCTCAAGTGAAATACATCCATTAAATTGAAAAGTAACTAAGAACAACAACTAAATATTTCTTTAGATCGAAACGAACGCTTTATCACTGCGCTAGGGTATTACGCACTTAACATAGGCTGCAGCTCATAGGAAATTCAGGTGATAAATGTATGTTTTATATGCACAGTATTTGTTACTTTTAATATTACAAAATAAAGTGTTAAAGAACTTTTTTTCTCTCAGTCAAAATACTTAATTTCTTATAAAGCTTAATAGCACAAATGAAGGCAAAAAAAAATGAAGAAAAAAGAAAGAAAAAAATATAAAGAATATGTTAGGTGGAGGTCAATATTTTACAGATAAAATAGGGGGTCATAATTTTATATACAAGGGGTCAGTATTTTATAGAACGGGGTCACTATCTAATATAATGATCGGGAGGTCATTATTCTATGGGGGTCACTTTACAACGTTACACAGAGCATTCAGAAATTGTATGGATTTAAAGACCGCGCCATATTGATGTCGGGATGTTGTACAGCGATTTAGAGTTGAACATGCTGACAGTATATTTGTAAAACAAATTTTCAGTAAAGAATGACAATATAACGTTACTTGGTATTTCTAATAAGACAATATATCCAAATTTTGGTTGATTTACCGTCTCCTCGGCGTACTGTGTTCTGGGTTTGTTTTATGACGAAGGTACGAACGGAAGACCATAGTTAAGAGAGGAAGTGTTGTCGATTTTAAACAAACAGATCTTATTTGCAAGCATCATATGCATATTAATGAACACATCGATTGGTTTATATGTTAGCTAGCATTCAATTAAATCTTTTGGGCGGTAAATTCTTTAATAGGCTGATATGATTTCAGACACAAATAACTTTTTCTTAAAA